ATTTGCAAATCTCATAAACCCATGTGTTATTCACAGTAAAACATAGAAAACATCAAATGGTTAAACTGAGAAAATGTAGCATTTTAAGAAAAAAAAGGGTCATTTTGAATTTGATGGCATCATGTCTCCTCTGCTTTTACCAGCCCATAAACATCTGGGAACTGAGGAGAGGAATGTTGCCTCGTTCTTGTCTGATAATAGTCCGGGCTCTTCTTTGTTGTATTTTTCATTTCATGATGCTCCAAACCTGTATATACCTTTGAGTATTGATGTTGGATAGTGCCAGTGACATAGACAGTAATGCACCAGTCAGAGATGCAACATGAGCACTGATAACAAGCGAGATGGTCCTGGCATCCGTCCTTTCCCAAAAGAATTTCAAATTTTGATTTATGTGGCAATAGAATAATTTTCCATTTTGCCTCAGTCCATTTTTCATGAGCTTTGGCCCAGAGAATAAGGTAGTGTTTCTAGATCGTGTTCACATGATATGGTTTCTTCTCTTTGACCTGCTTTTATGGATGGGATGGGGAAGTTCATGACAGAATCATGGCCCATTTTAATTCAGTGCCAGCTGAGAGCCCATAGATCATGGACTTTCAATATTGATTTTTTGCCTTTTTCCATGCGCACAGAGATTTCTCCAGATTCTGTGAATCTGTTGATAATATTATGTACTGTAGATGATGAGGCAGTCTTTGATATTTTACATTGAGGAATATTAAATTGTTTCATAATTTGTAGACAGTTTGGGGTTTGTTTGTTTTTTGCCGATCATTACTCCTGAGAAACTGACCGTCTAAGATGCTCTTTTATATGATATGGTAAATGGTCTGTATTTGTATAGCACTTTTCTAGTCCCTAAGGACCCCAAAGCGCTTGACACATCCTCCCATTCACACACACATTCACACACTGGTGATGGCAAGCTACATTGTAGCCACAGCCGCCCTGGGGCGCACTGACAGAGGCGAGGCTGCCGGACACTGGCGCCACCGGGCCCTCTGACCACCACCAGTAGGCAACG